AAAAAAATAATAATAATACAAAAAAAGAAAAAAGAAAGAAAAAAAAGGACAAACAGAGAAGAAGAAAGTAAAACGTGAACACAATAATGGTGGGTTAGAAAGTAATCACAAAAACATTTACAAAAAATAAAAAGAGACAGGAAAAAAATATGGTAAGTCTCTTTCTTTGAAATCAACAACAATGGTACATATATATATATATGGATAAAACTCTAAGATTTAATTTGTCGAAATTAAAACATTGAGATTTAAAGTAAAAAATGCATAAAACCTCAAAGTTTTTTTTTGTAATTAACCCAAAAACAATCATATACAAATATTTTTCTCCAAAAAATTCACAAAGATACATATATATATAAATACTCTTTCTGAAAATCACTTCTTTCAAATAAATATCATTTCTAAATAAATATCAAAGGGCTCAATTTTAAAAATAATGAGAAAGACAAAGGAATACAATTTTTTTTTCCTTGAAACATAGTCCAACCCAAACTTGTTGGGGTTTTACCTAAACAAGGCCCAAATCCTGAGCGAGCCATCCCAAGTGAGACTGGGCCTAGAATTGGGCCTAGAATTTGAAACTCAGTCTGGCCCAAGCTTGTTGGCCTTTTACCTAAACCAAGCCCAAATCTTGGAAATGTCGATTGAAGTGAGACTAGGCCAAAAATTGGGCCTCAAAATTGAAACCCAACCCTGCCCAACCTCGTTGGGCTTTCACCTAAACAAAGCCCAAATCTGGACTGGCCAACCCAAGTGAGATTGAGCCTTGAATTTGAAACCCAACCTGGCCCAAGCTCATTGGGATTTTACTCAAACAAAGGCCAAATCCTCGATACGCCAGCCCAAGTTAGACAGTGCCTGGAATTGGGCCTTTAACTTGAAACCTAACCTGGCCCAAGCTCATTGGGCTTTTACTCAAATAAAGCCCAAGTTCTGAACATGCCTACACAAGTGAGATTGGGCCATAAATTTGAAACCCAGCTCAGCCCAGCCCAACCCATGAAAAATTATAACAAAAAAAAAATGAAGAAAATTATTTTAAAAAGGACTCAAATCTTGGGCTAAGCCTGTAGGCCAGGCCACAAGCCCATAGAGGCAGCCTCTTGGCCCACTCATCAATCCACCATGCAAGCTCACTTAGGCTTAAGGTTTTGGCCTACAGCCCAATGAAAGAAGCTTCACACATTTTCAACTTTCTACACCAAACAAGCCCATTATCATGGTGCGAAAGAATGGTCCATTAAATAATTGTGCTGATCTCTCTCATGAGCAAAAATGAACATCTTTCAAGTTTTAGGTTTGCCTTACTAACCATTTGAAACATGACAAGTCACTTGAAAGAAGAAAATAAATAAACCGGTTTAATTTACTTTCAAATTTTAAATTTCTTATCAAAATCTTAGTGCGCATGATATTTTATCCTATACTTTCACTAACATCAGTTCGTGTGGCAAACTGGTCGATGTCGGTCTTATTTTGCTGTTTTGTAATCCTAAGAATTGAGACCTGCATAAAAACAGATGAATAAAACAAATAAGTTTCGTATAAATAAAAAATTAAACACATAATTAGGTTTGAGTTGCGGCATGCTTGTCTCATCTCATGTAATCAGCAAAAAAATCGATAAATGTAAACCAACATAATATAACATGATATGGACACGAAAAAGCAAAAAAAGGAAGAACCAAATAGGACAAACTAAAAACTATTGCATGCCACCATTACAATTATGACTGATACGAAATGCACAGTTCAAATACGAAATGCAAATATCTTGCAGTCCGTTTATGATATGCTCTTATATAAAATACGTGTTCAATTATAAAACAAGAAATATTATATATAGTAAATGTTAACAAACACTTCACACCTAATTAATACACAACGTATTGGTTTACTCTCAATGAGATGATTCACCATTAAATGAATGAGATGATTCACCATTAAATGTCATCTGCAAGGATCGATTGAACTCGCTGAGATCTCAAAATCTGATCTAAATATATCAATTGAAGAAGAAAATTCATATGCAACAATAAAGGTTTTGAAATATTATTCCGCTCCATAGAGCTTCCAAAATAACCCATTCCAAAAGACAAGGAAGTGTAGGCTGATGCAATCTCTATAGCTTTCAGCTTAGGTGAAGTCTCGGGAAGCTAAATAGGAAACAAACAAATAATAAGTCGTTTTTTTCCTTAAAAGAACCATTAAGGTTGAGGGTTGGGAGCTCTCGCTATTATAGGAGCCTCGGCTTGAACAACTAGAGTTCCGGCACTTTTATTAGGACCGTGTTCGCTACTATCTTGCATAATAGAGCATAAAACTTTCTTGCAAGCAGAGCCCGGACCTGCCTGCAACCTGTGCAACAAAAATAATAACCATGTTAGATTCACAAGTTGGGGGTATACATAAATGGAAACAAAGAAAATGATTTTAGGAGACTTGTGACCATTTTCTCAGTGTTAAGGATCATCATAGTTTTTCTCTCTAGAATGAACACAACATCTACGACCATCTTCGACCCCAAAGAAAAATCTCAAGAAGAAGAAGATCATCTAATTTGCAGTACCAAGAAGATCAAAAGCAACGATTCAATGGGGAAGGAATAGATGGAAACCACTGAGGAGGTTTCCCCTCCGCAAAATCTCTCACCCCCACCTCACACATCTAGCCCTAAGATGATGGCTACACCAGTTGAGGGGCCAAAGGTTAAATCGTTCAAGGATGCCCTCACTACACCCAGAAACGAAGACTTCTACTTCGATGAGCTTGAAGACATCATCAATATTGAGAAAGATGAGGATGGAGACACAGACATCCAAGATGGACATCATTCACAGAGGGAAGATGGGATACCCCAAATCGCCCTTCCAAAAAAATTATTGCAACAAATCCGACAACCTTGGGCCAATGCACTGCTCATCAGATCACTTGGGAAGACTATTAGATATAGCATGCTCTGTTCTAGAGTCAAAACACTCTGGAGGCCACAAGATGATTTCAATGCAATTAATCTGGGCAACAACTATTTTTTATTTAAGTTCTCATCTCAAGAGCACTGTGTCATGGTGTACTCAGGAGGTCCTTGGGTAATCATGGACCATTATCTTATAGTATGCAAATGGGAGCCTGACTTCAAGGCATCTGAAGCCTTTGAAACCACCACAGCTGTTTGGGTTAGGTTTCCAGAGCTTCCGATTGAATATTTTCAAGAAAAAATTTTATACACCATCGCGAGGCAATTACGGAAATCTCTGAAGATTGATCTCACCATTGCCATGGCCACAAGAGGGCGATTTTCAAGAGCTTGCATTGAAGTGGACCTGAGAAAACCACTGTGTCCCAGATTCATTTTAGGTAAGAAAAGTTACAATATTGAGTATGAATCCATTCATTCATTTTGTTTTCATTGTGGCAAGGTAGATCACTGCAAGGAGCTCTGTAGATTTAAGGTAGCACACCGAACAAAACAGGTGACCCAGACCTCTAGCCCACCGCCGACAAGAGACCCACAAATAGTTGCTGAGACCTCCCAAACATCTCTTTCCGTGGACAACGGTAACCCGCACCAGATTGGGTCAGAGGAAGGGGACAAAGCTTTTGGGCCTTGGATGCTTGTACAAAAAAAGAACCGGCGCCCAACGGCCTATGAGAAAGTTCAACATCATGAGGCCAGCCCAAACTCCAACAAATATGCAGAGTTAGGTAACACTAGCCAACAGGAGGAGGCCCATACTAGAGGTAAAAAAAACTACAAGATCAGGCCAAGAGAAAGAGGCCTATAAGTCCAACCCAACCTATAAACCCACCACTCACAGTCAAAACAATCCAAGCCCATCTAAAGACCTAGTAACATCTTCGCAGATTGTAGCACCTGAACTACAAGCCCACTCATCTGTCATCTCACATCCCAAAGATACAAACAACTAGGATAAAGACCCCCTTATTCCTGATAGTGTACCTACCCAACCTGCCAAGCCTACTCCTTTGCAAGTAGATTTGCAATCCTCAAAAATCCCAATGGAGGAGCTCCTTGATGATAGCATTAACACACCCCCACCACACCCCATCAACACAAGTACTCCCCTAAACCCTCCACACATCCTTACCACAAACCTTCAAGCATCCTTGAAAGATGGAAACTCGCGCCACAGCAAACAACCAACGAAACCTACCATGGAGATCGGGAAAATACCACTACCACAGAGTTTGGTGCACAAGATGGAGGGTAATACATTGAGCCTTTTACTAGAACCAGGTATAGAAGCAATTCACTGCGTAGACATAGTCTGGTGGATCGAACAGATAATGGTGAGAATCGAACCAAGTTGGAGCACCATTCCAGGGCCTCTAGTGCACTCATTTCAGATGGCATCCATGAGGTCAGTAGACCAAGATCATCGTAGGATTCAAAGCATCCTAACAAAACTAGCTTATGAACCATTACCACATTTCCCATCCATGGATTCTATGAAAATATTGATTTGGAACTGCCAAGGGGCAGGAAACAACACCTTCAAGCGCAACTTAAGATAACTCATCAGAACTCATAAACCTAAAATTCTGGTCCTCATGGAAACAAAAGTTACATTTAGCTCACTAGGGAACTTCAACAATCTGGGCTTCTCCACCTCTACAATGGTTGATCCAATAGGTAGAATGAGAGGAATCTGGATGCTCTGGGACACGGACCACGCTAATGTTCTAACCTCTTCTGTACCTAGCCAGTATATTCAAGCTACCATCCACAGGGAGGACTGAAGATTGGATTTTTTCTGCAGTCTATGCTAGTCCCAATCCAGCAACCAGGGACAAATCTCTGGAAGGAACTAGAGAGGACAACTAACACTATGACCCAACCTTGGTTGGTTGCTGGAGACTTCAACGACTTCACTGACCTAAGTGAAAGAAAGAGCTTCTCCCCCAACCATAACTTTACCAGATCACAAAGATTCAGAGACAGAATCAACAATTGCAACCTCATTGACATGGGCAGTGAGGTCCTCAACTTACCTGGACCAATAACAGACAAGGATTGGCCAACACAATGGAACGACTAGACAAAGCAATGCGCAATGACCAATGGCAAGCTCTCTTCTTTGAAGGCACTGTAAGGACTCTACCTCGCACATACTCAGACCATTCCCCCCTAGTGGTCTTCACCCAAGGTATGCACCCCTCTAACTCTCAAAATAGGCCTTTTAGATGTGAAGCTGCTTGGTTTTGTCACTCTAATTTTATTGATGTTATTCAGAATTCGTGGATTAATATGTCTAATAACCTATTAGAAGCCATTGGTACCTTTACTCACAATGTCAAAATCTAGAATAAAAAGGTTTTTGGAAGTATTTTCAAGAGAAAAAGAACCCTTCTCGCTCGCATAGAGGGTATCCAAAAAGCCCAAGCTCTTTCCTTTTCCCACAATCTCCATATTTTAGAAAAGGACCTGGTTAAACAATTCAACAACACCCTTTTTCAAGAAGAAATTCTCTGGTTTCAAAAATCTAGATCCAAATGGTTGACTATGGGGGATAAAAACACCAGATTCTTTCATATATCTACCCTTAATAAAAGAAGGAAACTTAAAATTAATGTCCTTAAAGATGATGAGGGTAACTGGATTGCTGGAACTAATGACCTTCAAGCCCACATCATTTCTATGGATTTTGTCTTTAAATTTTGGTATTTTGAGATGTTGGGGTTGGTTTGGTAATTTTGTGAAAGTTAGGGGCTTTTGTGTAATTTTATAAAAGTTGGGGTTTTATTTATAATAAACCTAGATGCATGTTTAGCATAGAGAAATGGAATAAATGTTGAGTCATTGATGAAAATGGAACCTAAGGGTTGAAATGGTAATTATGGAATTGACCTAATTACAATGTTTGATTAATTGGGATAATTGATTGTGAGAAATGAGGAAATGTAATGTTGATTGAATATCCATTGTGCATTTATTTTCTGTTTAGAAATAACTGCTCTGGGCTATCGGTGGAGGATAGTCGTGATTGTTGTAGACAATGCATGATGATTAGGCAAACGGAAACTAATCAATGGAATGTGTCATGGAATTTGACGGTTGATAGAATACATTAATT